ACATGTTAACGTTTTGTACAATAATCTTCAAAAAAAGAACATGGACCCAACCGAAGCACAGAAAGCTATACATGTTTTTGAGCAAAGTATTAACAATGTCCGAAATAAAATAGACCCTATCATACATCAAGCTTCAAATTTAAATGCGGCGCCTAGTGTCCAAAAAAGGAAACGCCCAAATAACAGCCAACAGGATCACCGTATTGCCTGTCTAGAAGTTTGTGATGTTATTATAAACAATGCAAAAGAACGGTTTGCATATACAAATCATCTAGTTGCCGCAACACTTTTATCTTCAGAACATTTCGAAAAATATAATAATAAGTTTCCTGAAAATGAATTGGATTTAACTTGTACAGCTTATAACTTCTTTGATAAAAACCGTTTGCGAACAGAACTGTCAGTTTTGTATTCCAATATCGAGTGTAGAACATTAAAAGGTGCAGTGCCTTTACTAAAATTTATAATTTCTAATAATTTAGAGGACACATTAACAGAAACCAAAAAGTTGATACAAATTCTGGTGACTACGCCAATGACCACAGCAGAAGCTGAACGTAGTTTTTCAACTTTAAAACGGATCAAAACATTTTTAAGAAATTCAATGTGCGAAGACAGATTAACAGCCCTTTCCACACTCTCGATAGAAAAAAAGTTCATCGCTTCAATACCGAACTTTAACGATAAAGTAATCGAAAAGTTTGCGACAAAAAAGGACCGGCGTATTAATTTCCAATTTAGAAAAATGCAATAAATGTAAGTTAATCAGATTTTTATAGCATGTCGTTATTAGTTACTATTAATTAGTATTAAAGCTAATTTTATTGTTTTTGTTTTCGTATGTTATTCTATTTCTATTATTTTATATTGACCGTGGTTCATGCAGCACACCCTATAGCAGATGTCACGAGCCGCCACTGATCTATGGGTAATAAAATTGAAGACCATACACTGTACAGCTTGCATTTTGTTGATGACCAAGTAATACTTGCAGAAGATCAAGATGATATCCACTACATGTTACGAAAAATAGATAAAGAATATACTAAGTGGGGCTTATCAATTAATCCATCAAAAACAGAGTACGTAGTAGTGGAAGGGGAAAGAAAGCACTTAGAACTAGGAAACAAACAAATTCAAAATACTGATAGCTATAAATATCTCGGTGTAAACATTACAAACAATGGTTGGAATACAAAAGAAATAGCTACTAGAATTGGTCAAGGAAATTCAGCAATACGTCAACTGAATAGTATACTTTGGAATATCCACATCACACGAAACACAAAAAATAGGATATACAAAAGTATCATAGAAAGCATTGCTACATATGGTTCAGAACTTTGGGTAATAAATAAAAATGACGCATCCAAAATAAAAGCAATGGAAATGAAGTTGCCAAATCACTAGAAGAGATAGAGTAAGGAATACTGAAATCAGAGAGCGTATGGGCATAGATATTGACATCCTGGGAACTATAGAATGCAAAAGACTGAAATGGTATGGCCATGTAGAAAGGATGAATGATCAACGATGGCCAAAGAAAATGTTACAGTGGATCCCCACCAACCGCAGGAAAAAGGGAAGACCAAGAAGATCGTGGTACGTAGTGATGACGACAGACTGATTAGCAATGTGTTTTGGGAAATACCAGATGGTAGAAGATCGACAGGAAGGTCTAGAAAAAGGTGGAAAGACGCAGTCAGGGAAGACCTGGAGAAGATGGAAGTAAGGCCATGGGAAATAATAGCACAGGATCGGAATCAATGGAAGGCAATAGTAAACGCGGCAAAAACTCACGAAGAGTTGTAAAAGCCAATGATGATGATGATGAAGAAGATCGTGGAGTCAAGAAGTAAATGGTGCAATGGAAGATAGGGGTCTACAAGTTAGATGACTGGAACGATCGCAAGCGTTGGAAGCTAGGTTGCGAGAAACGGCGGCTGCTGTAGTAAACTCGTTATATATATATATATATATATATATATATATATATATATATATATATATATACAGATTTTATTAGCCAAAACTACAGGATATAATAGGACAGGTCATATGGGAGAAGAAAAATAAAACACAATCTAAAATTTTCATTGTATTTAACTTTATTACGTGGTATATTTTATCAGTATTTACCAAACAACATACATAATTATAACCTCCAATGTAACAGTCGGCCCTCCAATATTTTATATATTTTTTAATCTATAGCATAAAATCTCATACAAAAGAATATCAAAAAAGATCACACGGCGTGTGAGTAAACCAAATAAAATTATATTGTTCATGCTAGTTTTATCACATAAAAAAAATAACAAGGTTCTGTCTGCTATTTTTTCATAACTGGGATGTTTATGTAATATGAAAATGGTTCTATTTGAAGTTCTTCACCATAATATGATAGTAGCACCGACATCTATTAACAGGTGGCCGAAATACAAATGTTAAAGGGTTCTATCTCAGACAATTTTAAATGTTGATCAGTTAACAGAGTTCTAACTGAAATAAAAACAGTCAGGTAAGTACACATGGTTCTATCACCAAGAGCTAAAAGTGTTTAAGGGGGTATGTTCACGCCGCAGTTAAAATACGTGGTATTCAAATAAACTAACGTTTAACAATTTTTTGAATAGATGGCAGCACGTGCATCATATTTTAACATTTTGATTTTCTCGAAATTTAATTATGTTCTCTGAACACCGACATTGTTTCTAGTGAGGCCAGAGAACTACGAACAGTTCTCTGGCGAGGCCAAGGACTGGAACTTGAAATATAATATACGATCAGTAGAATCGGTATAGTTTGCTCTCGGTCGGCAGTCTTCTTCAATGTAAGTTGAAATTAGCTATTATTTGAAGTTTCACAAATTCTAATTTTTGGATTGGATCATTCTATATAATTTTTTAGTTTTTGTATCGTGTTGTGTTGTTGTCCATTTACCTTTGAAGTTAAATTGATGTTTTGATTTTTTTGTGTTGTTTTTTAGTATTGTAAACATTTTAAATAGTGCATATTAGTCTTGTTTCCTAATTAAATTAAAAAACTAAATATATTTCAAATACAAAGCGCATGATAAACTTGCACCAATTAGAGAGGTGTTCCATACTTTTGTGAAAAATTGTACTATGGCATATTCACCTGGACCGCATCTTACCATAGATGAACAACTAGCTTCATTCCGAGGGCGATGCCCTTTTCGTGTGTACATGAAAAACAAGCCTGATAAATATGGCTTAAAGATTTGGGCCCTGGCAGACAGCGAAAATACTTACAGTATGAATTTACAAATTTATCTTGGAAAAAAGAATAACGCACCCGAAAAAAATCAAGGTGAAAGAGTTTTCCTTGACCTTATTGAGCCACTTGGCTTTGAGTATGGCATAACTACAGATAATTTTTTACAGAGTTGCGACCCAAATCGTTCAAGCCTGTTCATTCTAGTATGTTTGCTTTTTAGAAAGACCATGCTATGGTTTCTTATGTTACCAGCAAAGGCAAATCGGTTATTTTATTATCCACTGAACATCATGATGATGCTGTTGCCGATGAAACATTAAATACGAAGCCAGATATTATACTGCAGTATAATCGTACAAAAAGTGCAGTAGATACCACAGATAAGATGGTAAAGCAATACTCTGCTCGTAGGATATGCAACCGATGGCAGTGTTTGGCCAAATATTGGATATTTCTGGCCTCACATCTTATGGTGTATCAAGAACCCGGATTGATCTAGAGAAAAAGATGACAGACGTAATTTTTTACTAAATCTAGGAGAAGCTTTAGTAAGAGAAAATATTACCAGGCGATATAATAAGGGAGTACGATTGAGTAAGACGTTGAAGCAGTACATGCAAGATGTCGTTCCAGAGTTGTCGCTGGTGAAGATGCAAATGGAAACAGTCTGTGAACGATCTTCAAGTGGACGTTGCTACTTATGTAGTCGAAATAAAGATCGTAAATCAAGGCAATTTTGTAAGCAGTGTAAAAATTTTGTATGTGCAGAACACCATATCAAGGAAGTAATTCGCACCCGATGCCAAGAAACTTCAGACTAGTTTTCGGTACTAAGATTTATTTTTATTAGTCAATTGAATTGAATGATGTAATAAAAATGTGTTAATTAAAGATTTTATTTAATTTTCTTATAATAAAAATTAAATATACGCAATTTTTTCTCTGGGGGACAAATGGAACCTACATGGGACTCCACATAATTTTACCGACGTGGGAAGATGAAGGTTAACAAGGCCTAGTTTTCTTCATCTAACGCATCTATAAATAATGGCATCTCTTCATCTAAGGCGTCTACATTGAAAATATTAGTCACTTTCTACAATTTTCGTACTGTGCTGTAGGAAAGTAATGTTTGTAAGAGTGTCATCATCATCATCACGTAGCGCTCCAACCCTGGGTGGGTCTTGGCTGACTGTACAACTTTTTTCCAATTTATTCGGTCTTCTATCAACCTAGGGTCAAATGGAATGTTATTTTCCGGAGATCTGCTTGGACGTTATCTCTCCATTTGTAATTCTCTCTCCATTTGTTTGTAAGATTGTACACTTGGATAAATAAGAGATAAAAGCCAGTTCAGAATAACTTTAATTTACAAAAAACCTATTGACCAAGATTTACAATCACATATTACTTACAATATTATTTTTTATTTGATATAAACAAAAAATGACTTTAATGTGTAGCGAAAAAGAAAAATCATTACATAAAAAATAACAAGTATATATGGAGAATATAATAAATTGTTTTGGACCAACAGAAATCACTAGAGATCATGTTAGAAGTGACGCTTTTATTGTATCAAACACGTGATATCCAGATAATTGTAAATATGTACAAATATTTGGTACTAACAATATCGATGGTCATGTTTGTGGAATTTTGTTATGTATGCATTAAAATATGTCTATACTAAAAGAAATCAGTGAAACTCAGTTTCGAAACAAAAAATATTTAAGTTATTCATGAAACATACTTAATTTGCTAAAATTTGTATATTACACGTATTAAAAGTAAACAATAATTTTTAACGTCAATCTATCATGATCGAGATTTTTAAAACCGAGAAAGGTACACTAAAAACAATACAAAATTAACAGTCGATAAAGTATACCTTTCTCGTTCTTAATTATCCGATAGTTTAGTAAAAATGGTTTTATAAATAGTTTTGTTAATTACATATTTATCTAGAGAAGTTAAGATTAGGCTAAGAGATATTGGTGTTTTCTATATTTTTGAAAAAAAAAAATCTAAGGTGAAACTCAATTCAAAAACTTTAAAATAACTATACATACAGACGGATATTACTATAATAAGAGTAACGGTAGCTCTGCTACTGTACAAAAGAGATGACGTGAGTGACCACCTTCAACCTGAAACAGAAAATGATACAAGATACATAAACATAAAATTTACAGAAAAATTGGTGAATCTTTAAGCTGATTTTTACTATATTAGGGGCGATAAATCGAAATATGGATTTCGTTTTTTTGTATCAGATCTAGTTTTATAAACATGACACGTTCCGAAATTAGTAGTTATAATATTTGAAATAATGAAGAATATGTTATTTAAAGGAAATTGTTAATTAAATTTCCTCACTACAGTAAAAGCTCGATATAACGGACTACTTGGGGGATGGGGTGTCCGTTAAAGCCGAAAGTCCGTTATATAAAAATTTATCTAAAATAAATCAAAATACTTTTTTTGAAAATATGTAAGTATGCACATTTTAATTGTCTTCGGACATTCGTGGCGAAGTGACATTGCTGTCGGCAATCTTGTTTTGAATAAGTTTCGTTTGCTGTTTTTTATGATCAACTCTCTAAAATTACGGAAATGTGTAGAATACAGTTTAACTATTTGATGAATAATCAATAAATGTTATTAGATCGTCGAGATACGATCTTACCTCTGATAACTTCATTTTTAACACGTTTACACAACAATAACATTTTGTTGTGTTGTTCGCTATTTTCACTTCCATCCTCATTTTTTGGGTTCATAACTTCATGTGCTATTTCACTTTCAGTCGTGATGATATACCCAGGGTCAAACTCATCTACTTCTAGCCTCCTAGTCTCTAGCCCTCAGGTCCTCATCTCCTCCCATGCTCCAGCAAAATTAAAAACTGTTGATTTTAAATTGTAAGACCCAAGTTCTGCAAGGTAAGCTGTCCTTTTGTATCTTCTGCATTATCTCCATCGTACAGTACAACCACTACTTCGTCTAAAAACGTTCTGCGATATATTCGTTTGGCTGCCAAAATTATTCCGAAGTCGAATAAGCGATGTTGAATTTTTTCGGCAAAAACATATACCTAAAGTTGCCATCTTCTGAACGAAGAATATTTTTGCAGGGTTGATCAGGAGCGTTGTCTAAAAGCAGTAAACATTTCATCTCTTCTGGTGGTATTCCCAATTTCTTCTCTTGAAATTTTCTCATTGAAGGTACAAATTCTTTGAAAAACCTTTTGAAAATATCTTAGGTGTACCATGCCTTCTTAGAGCTATACTATTACATGAGTCAACCTATGCGATTCATCAGTGTTAGCATACAGCAGTGCCGGGATCCCATCCTTGTTGATTTTTCTTCCAGAATTTGATTTTTTATATTTGAAGGATGTGCGCTTTCAGGCAAAGTACGCCATTATAAACCAGTTTCGTTACTTGGGCTACTATTTTTGCTAAAATTTTTGCCTAAAAAGTTATCTTTCTTCATTTGGAGCACTTGAAGCTTCAAATTTTTTTATTCATGATTCCGTGCCTTTTGTAAAAGCGCTAGAGCCATTCAAAACTTGCTCTGGATGGTATGTATATATGATTTGTTAATTTAATTGTAGCAGATTCTCCTGAAGCAGCAACTCCTAAAGTTTGTTTTTTTTTATGCCATATTGATCACATATATGATACACAGACGCTCCACACTTCAACTTTTGTATATTCTCTAGTTTTTGATTGATCGTTAGATTAATTATTTTCCGTTTCTCCATATTTAAAGGGTAAAATTGCGAAAATTGTAACTTATTCACTGGCGTTTACTAAATGTGTTCATTCGTCACGAATAAACAAGCATTTAGTTTTTATCGAAAAAATATACATATTACTATTAGAAATGTGTCCTCTTATGCTAAATTTTATTGAAACTCTTTGTGGTATGGGACGGGTTCATCATCATCATTCTTCAACCTCTTGCATCCACTGTTGGATATAGGTCTCCTCCATGTTCTTCCACCACTGTTCTCTATCTTGCGCCTTCTGTATCCAATTTCCGACTGTTTTTCTCAAGTCGTCCATCCATCTTTTTGGTGGTCTGCCTCGGTGTCTTTTGTCTTCTCTAGGTCTCCATTCTATGAGTCTTTTGGTCCACCTATTATCATTTAAACGTGCTATATGTCCAGCCCATCTCCATTTGGCTTGTGCAATTTTTTCTATGACATCTGTCACTTTAGTCCTCTCTCTCACTATCCTATTTGGTACGGGTTAAGCATGTATAATATTAACAGATGTTTTTATTTATTTTTTTTTTACATTTGACCGGATTTTTTGTCCGTTATATCCGAATTCCGTTAAATAGAGGTCCGTTATATCGAGGTTTTACTGTATATTTGTTGTTCTCACAGTATTACGTATTATGCCTTATTTATGCAAGAAATGTTTGCAAGCGCACACTGAATTGAGGGTTCGTTGACTGCACAGCGGTATATTGAGGAAATTTTAGCGAATCACGTAGTACCCTTTTCTCGATATATCGGCGACGATTTTCTATTAATGCAAGAGAATGCGCGATCCCACTCTGCAATGTGTGTCACGACGCAATATTTAGACGAAGTTGGTATTAATAAAATGAACTGGCCAGCGTGTTCGCCAGATCTGAACCCAAAATATGGAAAGTTTGAAAGATGTTTGGTAGAAATATTAGAGGTCGCGAAGTCGCACCAGCTTCAATTAAGTTTCAATTTTAATTAAAGTTTTAATCAACTTCCGGTGCGACATTCAGATTTATTCAACTTACCAAAGAGAACGAAATGTTTTCAGCAGCAACCAGATTTGGTTGTTTCGACTGGGCGACTTTGATCGAACCTAACCTTATTTCCTTGGTCTACTGCCGAAGATGGTGGTCCTACTCTATTTTTAATTTCAGCAGCCATAGTCATAAAGGCCTGTTCTACATTGGTTGCATTCTTAGCTGAGGTTTCCAAAAATGGAATTCCCAATTGGTCGGCATATTCCTAAAAACAAAACGATATTTGAACAAATGAAAAAAGATGTCTATCGAAAATAAAATACAGATTCAAAATTATATCGTGCATCTAGTTTAATAGTGACACAACCGCAAAAAATACTAATTTTGAGTTAAGGCTTTAAAAAGGTTGCCTATATATAATACACCATCTAATGCAATACTGTCTGAAACTGAAATATTGTCTTGGATAAGTATAAAATAAGATACTTCGGTATTACACTGTAGGGTTTTGAAATGCAATATGACCATAACTAGGAGGTGTGGCGATAAAACACTCCGCCACAATACAAACGATGTAATTCAATACAGCCACAACTGCAAACATTGTTAGGTTAATGGTTATCCACGTTTTTTGTGTAAAATTATTTGATTTAAAGTCTATGTATAGTGATATTATTATTAACTTTATTATCAAACACGATGTCAAGAGCAAGAAAAATGCTTGGACTAGCTGTGCAAATTAAAGATGATGAGAATCTGAGAGACAATTCCATCGAGCAAAAAGACAAAAGAGAGAATGTATAGATAGTGGGGGCAACCATATTGTTAGACAGGAAGTGCGATCTTTAGAGGCCACATTAAACAAGGAAAGAGAGTCTCTCTCCTTGTTTGACATCAAATTTAGTTGGGTTATGTTATTATTTGTCCCAAATGTCACATGAAATCTTATTTATATTGCAGTTTTTTAACAACTGTGTCGCATTTTAGACTATTATAGTTAATAATTAATTAAAACTTTCTCATCTAAGACACATTCTGAAAAATATTATATAGCTACCGTTGATAAGTGTCGGAAAATTCTAAATTTGGCGCATTCGCATTTTCGGATATGTCCACCATCAGAGGCCACTTTTTTGGTCTCCTTATCATAAGGATTAGATTCCCTCTTTTGTCTTTTTGCTCGGTGGACAATTCAGAGGTTTTTGAGGTCATAATTGACATACCCTTTGTGTTGATGGAGGTTTGTATTTCAACAAAAATCACAGTGAGGTTTTACTTAATATATGTAATTTTTTAGCTTACTCCGGTTGCGTTACCCGTGCAATCAAATCATAAGGCAAATACATTTGAACATCAAGAATAGCTACATACAGATCCTCGCCAAGATGATTATATAGAGCAGGTACATTTTTTAATAATACACTTTTCAAAATTTTATTTTTTGTTTGAGTTTGTGAACTAATATCAAAACAGTACAGTTTTTAACATTGCTTAAAATATAATTACAGATCTGTATTAAAAATTAAGATCAATAGAAACAGGATGATTTATTTTGTATGTTGTATGAAAATATCGCTATGTCTGTAATTATAAATAATGTTAACATCCAACGGCAACTTTTCAAATTAACCATAAAATTTTGTTTCAGTGTTAAATTCAAGAAGGAAATTTCAATTCCTATGGACTCTGTGACAGACAGTAACTACTCAGCTGATACTTCTTTAAGCACTGATAGTGAAAATAAAAATGGAAATGAAAATAAATAACCAACAATGGCAAATTAGACGAAGAAATTAAACATAGAAATAACCAAGGAAGACAAGCCATTAGACAATTAAACAGTGTACTATGGGATAAAACAATCTCCTAAGAAAACAAACACAAAATCTATAACAGCATTATAAAAAGCATCATTACATATGAAAGTGAGGTATGGCCACTGAAAGGAAAAAAACTTAAAAGCATTAGAAGCAACAGAAATGAACTTCTGGAGAAGAGCGGCTGAAAAATCAAGATAGACAGAGTTAGAAACGAAAGAATACGAGAAATTATGGGTGTTAAACACAATTTAACAGAGGACATCAGAGCAAATCAACTAAGATGGTATGGACACCTCCAAAGAATGGATAAACACAGAATACCAAAAAAAGTATTGAACTGGACACCGCATGAAAGAAGAAAGCAAGGTAAACCCAGATTAAGTTGGAGAGAAGGAATCGATAAAGACTTAAGGGAGAAGTGAGTTGAAGAAAACCTCTGGAACGACCGAGATAAATGGAGACTGGAAATCAGAAGACTATATATAAAGGAGTACGACCATCAAACAACTATTCAATGAAGTAGGTTACAAAAGAAAAAATCTTTTGATCACGAGGATATCAGTCAAAGGAGAAATAATACAAGGAAATCACAGTTCCATTCCTATATTTGAAGACGTTTCGCTTGTGGAGTTCACAAGCTTCATCAGTTCAATGAATGGTGAGTGAAGTATAAAAAGGTGTTAAACAAACACACCATTGCCTTGGTAATTGTGGTCAATACATTAAAATGTTGTTAAAACCATTTAAATTTATTCAAGCTACGATTTTAACAACATTTTGATGTATTGACCACAGTTACCAAGGGAATGGTGTGTTTGTTTAACACCTTTTTATACTTCACTCACAATTCATTGAACTGATGAAGCTTGTGAACTCCACAAGCGAAACGTCTTCAAATATAGGAATGGAACTTTGATTTCCTTGTATTTCTCCGTGACCTTAAAAGATTTTTTCTTTTGTAACCTACTTCATTGAATATATATATATATATATATATATATATATATATATATATATATATATATATATATATATACATATATATTCTAAGTGCATTTCAAATATAATATAATAAATATAATTTTAACTGATATTAAAAAAAAATTAACTGTACACTCACCTTGGCTGTAGTGAAGTCGACAACTTTTTTAGTTGTCAAATCGCTTTTATTTCCTACCAGTAATTTGTTTACATTGTCACATGCGTAACGGTCGATTTCTTCAAGCCATTGTTTAACGTTATTGAATGAATCTTGGTCTGTGCAATCGTACACTACAATAATACCATGTGCCCCCCTGTAATAACTTGAAGTGATCGTTCTAAATCTCTCCTGACCTGCTGTATCCCACTAAAATAGTATATAAATATAGTAATATTAAAAAAGTCATAAACGTTTAATTATAAATAAATAGAAAAAGGTCAAGTTTTCGCAATTTTAAAGTATTTATGACACATACATAAGATAATACAGATAAAATAATAAAATACAGTCAATTATAAATTTATACAAACATTTTTAATGCATTACAATAATTTTAAAGTAGCTGGCAATTATTCAACTGTCTTATATAGTAACAATAGTACCAATATATTGCAAATAACCCGGGTGTCAAAAAAAGATTAACCACGATAAATATATTAAATTATATCACGATTATTAGGGATGAAAATTGGCCTAACTTGCGAAACTTTGCTGAAGCAGATCCCACACATTTCTACAAATGATGAATCGGAACACTGCGTATGACGCCATTTGGCGGCGCTATGATCTGATGCCTAGTGCGCACGCCGCCATTTGGCGTCAGAGCTCCGTTCGAATTTACTTAGCCAGTAATCAAAACGCAGTAGGTGTGAGTGGACGTGCAGGTACACGCAGAGAATGGGTTAAAGCCAGTCGCAGCTGGTTTGACAACTTTAGAAAAAGGACCGGCATTCACTCTGTCGTCAGGCATGGCAGCAAGTTCGGCTCTGAAAGCAGATAGAAGCTAAAGGATACATCTGTCAGTCTTCAACTGTGACGAGACAGGGCTTTTCTGGAAAAAGATGCCGAATGGAACTTACATAACGGCAGAGAAGAAGACGATACCAGGTCACAAACCTATGAAAGATAGATTAACTCTACTACTTTGCGCCAATGTGGTAGTGGCGACTGCAAAATCAAACCTCTTCAAGTGTACCATTCAAAAATCCCAGTACCGTTAAGTCACATAAGATTTTAAAAGAAAAAAAAGCTGCTAGTTGTTTGAAAGACAGATCTAAAGGTGTGGTTCACCAAGAAATTCTTTGTGGAGTGGATAAACATAGTGTTTGCCCCTTCTGTTAAAAAATATCTACAACAAAACAACCTATCCTTTCAAATCCTTCTTGTCGTCGATAATGCCCCTACTCATTCACCAAATCTCGAAGATGATTTACTCCAAGAGTTCAGGTTTATAAAGATTCTCTACCTACCAGCCAACAACACTCCTAGCTTGCAGCCCATAGATCAGCAAGTGATTACCCTTTGAGAGTTCTGGAAGGACCATTTTAACATAGTAACATGCTTAAGAATTATTGAGCAGGCCTGGCTAGGTGTTACAAAAAGGACCTTAACCTCTGCATGGAAGAAGCTGTGGCCTAAGGCTGTAGATGAAAGGGCCTGCGAAGGACTGGAACCCGAAGTGTCAGATGTAGATGAGATTGTTTCTTTTGGAAAATCCAAGGGTCATGGGTGTAGAGGTGGATGAAAGAGATGTGAAAGAACTTGTCGAGGAACAGTCACGAGAGTTGATATTCTAAAAGGGAGAAAGAAACAATCCTTATTGGACAGTTTTTTTAAACAATCTAAAGATGAAAATGAGCAAAGTGCGACGAAAAAAGCGAAGACTTATGTTTTTACAGAATATGTATGTATTTTTTGTTACTTATAAATAAATGTTTCTTCTTTTAAATTCAAATATCTATATATGGATTAAGAGTTAATCTCTCACATGAACTAATCATAAAGACAGTTTGGATACTTACAATTTGCAATTTAATTGTCTTTCCATCTAAATCGATTGTCCTGATTTTCTAAAATATAAATTTTAAACAATTATTACCATAAATAAAGAAACATTGCAAATGTACATATAATATATTTGAGAATGAGAAAAGGACAAAGTTATTGGCAAAATGAGAAAAAATATTTAATTTTTTAATTAAATTAGTTCATAAACCAAGAAATATGTTCTTTAGAAAAAGTATATGTTAGGCATCTTTGCAAGTAGCGTCTACGCTGCGAGCAAGATACGTGCGCTTGGCTTGTTTGTTTCCCGTCAATGCACATTGAGCATTGAGCGGATTCTCCGTGGAAAGTTCACGTGGCGGCGTAGCAGAAACTGGCGTTCTTCCGATCCACTCGTGTGTGCACTGCCTAATTACAACTCATGTGATGCTGAACCGCCAGCGATCGCACGCATCATACCCACGGCATGCACGCTACTTGCAAAGACGCAAGTGTGCATCGAGCCTAAGAAGTCATATTTTACAACGAAGTATAGTATGTGTTTATAAAAAATATCATTTCGTAAAATAAATGATTAATAAATATTTGATACACTTACAAAGTCTACTCCAATGGTACTAATATAGCTTTCTGTATAGGTGTCATCCTAAAAAAAAATAAAAAGATTTTTAATACTTGTAAAAAAAAAACACAATAATAAATATACTTTCATGGTAGCTAACAGGTAAATTATCTCTTAAACGTAATCAATATGGGATTAACAGGTGTAAATTATTAATGCCAGTTTAACACATTAACTGCCAACTACGTGATAACTAGTAGATTGCATTCTTAGATTTACTTGCCATTTTTGTACAGCTACGATTTAATTCGGAATATTGGTGCTAATATCGATAGATTGCTTTTGAGAAAAGAACAAAATAATGATGATCTCGTCAAATTCTGATTTACGTAGTACTCAATTTTGATAACACCAAATTGATAAAAGCAATTGTTAGATATCTGTATCAAAGAATGTCACGAAAAAGGCTTTTTATTTGCTAATTTCTCTGTTGTGGTCATGGTAAGCCTGGTTCGACCCCGGCAAAGAAATTTTCAATTTTCAATTTAAAATAATCTTTTTTGAGAACGATTTCCGAAGTGAAAATCGAAACCACAAAACAATTATATAATGTAATTTCCATTGTCATTAATTGTAGCTTAATCTCATCCCATATAAACATAATATTTAATTTAGACACACAAGAAAACAGTTTCAAAACTTTTTTAAAATCGAGATAATCAAAATACACTCATTACAGAATAGTATAAATACTTTTAGCAATTATGTAAATAATATATCACACAATCAATTGATCTAAAGTCCAAAGTTGAGACTATACAAAAGACAATGGCTGTACTTGACAATATAGTAGTAATAAATCAAATTACTTTATAGAACAATTTATGATATTTTTGAAAACGAGAAATGAAAATTTCATGTGATAAAATAAATTATATATATATATATATATATATATATATATATATATATATATATATATATATATATATATATATAAGATCACTCAGACGAGTGGTGGGTTCTTATATCGGTCTCTAGGTGGAGAAATAAAAGACAAAGTTGATAGGCTACTTTATCTATTTTGAAGACGTTTCGCTTTCGAGTTTTGAAAGCATCATCAGTTCATCTAAAAAATTTTTACAATATGAGAACCACACAATCATGGAAACGATGTTAATTGTTACCTTAAAAAGATATGTAGCAGTCAATGTTATTAACAAACATGTGAATGAAACTAAGTAAATGGACATAATACGCTGATCTTGTATAAACAGTTAAGCAACTAACAACATATATGAACTTGTAAAAAATTAGCACAGCAAATGACCATGTGGTCTAAAGTAAATTCAATGTTATTTAATGTTAATAAGTGAGTAAGAACCAAGAAAATCATAAATAACTTCCAACTATTTAATGGATATTAAGCTTTGATTTTAACTTTAGGTAGCATTATAAGTGATATTAATAAAATTATAAAAAGTAGTAAATATGAAGTTACCGATCAAAGCCCTGTGAATGTCGCCGAGAAAATGGCGTTTAATGAAACAGGAACGAACTAAACCGCAAAAAGACAGCCAACCTTGAGGTCAAAAATACTTTTGACAGATCAACAAGGTGTAGATACCAACCCAAATTTTGAGCGGTTAATTTAAGTTTAAATGAGTTTGGGTGACTACCCGGTTGCAAAGGACAACACAGTGAAAAAAGTTGGTAGTGTAAAAACAACTCCCCTCACTAATCAGCCCAAATTTACAAACAGGAGATTTTCATTCAACCTCATAAGTATGTAATGACGTTAATCATTATGGCTAGTTAAACAGCCAGGTGGTTAACGATTTAACCTTGGGCTGTTTGGAAATTATCAAATCGTTAACCACCTGGCTGTTTAACTAGCCATAATGATTAACGTCATTACATACTTATGAGGTTGAATGAAAATCTCCTGTTTGTAAATTTGGGCTGATTAGTGAGGGGAGTTGTTTTTACACTACCAACTTTTTTCACTGTGTTGTCCTTTGCAACCGGGTAGTCACCCAAACTCATTTAAACTTAAATTAACCGCTCAAAATTTGGGTTGGTATCTACACCTTGTTGATCTGTCAAAAGTATTTTTGACCTCAAGGTTGGCTGTCTTTTTGCGGTTTAGTTCGTTCCTGTTTCATTAAACGCCATTTTCTCGGCGACATTCACAGGGCTTTGATCGGTAACTTCATATTTACTACTTTTTATAATTTTATTAATATCACTTATAATGCTACCTAAAGTTAAAATCAAAGCTTAATATCCATTAAATAGTTGGAAGTTATTTATGATTTTCTTGGTTCTTACTCACTTATTAACATTAAATAACATTGAATTTACTTTAGACCACATGGTCATTTGCTGTGCTAATTTTTTACAAGTTCATATATGTTGTTAGTTGCTTAACTGTTTATACAAGATCAGCGTATTATGTCCATTTACTTAGTTTCATTCACATGTTTGTTAATAACATTGACTGCTACATATCTTTTTAAGGTAACAATTAACATCGTTTCCATGATTGTGTGGTTCTCACATTGTAAAAATTTTTTAGATGAACTGATGATGCTTTCAAAACTCGAAAGCGAAACGTCCTCAAAATAGATAAAGTAGCCTATCAACTTTGTCTTTTATTTCTCCACCTAGAGACCGATATAAGAACCCACCACTCGTCTGAGGTGATCTTTATATATATATTGGATTGACGGTCGTACTCCTTTTTCCGATATATATATATATATATATATATATATATATATATATATATATATAATATATATATATATATATATATATATATATATCGATTTTAAAACGTCTTGCTACATTGTCCGATGCCTAATTTCCATGACACTCTGTCATCCAATTGGCACTTAAGATCTCTTGCGCTCATCACCTTCGTTACTCCCCCTCTCCAAGATTTCTTGGGTCTTCCTATCTTTCTGCGGTTTCTTGGTACTCATTGCATAATTATTTTAGGGAGTCATGAGTTATCCATCGTACATTATCAGGTGTTTTTTGATACAAATATGATATGTGCCATTATATCAAAAAGAGAAATGTTAAAACATATTTTGTTTTTTACATCTGGTATAGCACTTAATAAAGTATTTAATGAAAAATATTTGTTTTTGTATTTTGTTGCGTTCAATTTAAGAAACATTCTCGAATGTTAAAATTGGCCTACTGAAAAACATGCATTTTGGAGTTAACACATGTCTCCCAAACACTGCAGATATTATATATGAAAATCTTCTTGAATTATACTTATAATTTTTACAATTACTTTTCTTGACTGAAAAACAATATAAATATAAATTTTAAACAAATTACCTGATTGTTGAATATATTGAATAATTTTCAAACAGAGTATTTGAATACTAATGTTACCTAATTCAATATCGATTTTAATTCAATAATGATGTCCATTCAATATTTATTTCTAACAATAAGTTGGTTACTGCATATTCGAATGGTTTATCAGAATTGAAAGAGTTCTCCTTCGTTCCTTTCCTCTCCTGTCGGAGATTGGATATCATCAATACAGCTGTTCTAAACAGTTCGTTTGTGATATAACCAAACTGCTCTCTTAAATTTCCCATCCAGAACATTCATTCTTCGATCTATCCTTGAATTATATTTTGCAGGAATGTATATTTTTGTCACTGTATTCGATATTCCAAGGATACCAATTTTCTCTTTTTAGATAAGTATTACTTCAGGCCTTTTGTCCATTCGCTGTAATACTTCTTCATTTGTGATTCAGTCAACCCAACTTATTCTTCATATTTGTCAATGAAACAGTTCACAAACATTCTAATATGCCATTAGAATGTTCACAAAAAAAAATCTATAAACACAAATAATTAGAAAATATGTACACTTACTGCAAATCTCAGTAGAAGGCAAGATTTTCCTACTCCTGAATCTCCAATCAGCAGAAGTTTGAATAAATAGTCACTAAAACAAAAGACAATATGTCACACAGTTTTCTCTTTTTTCATGTAAAGTGGTTTAAAATAAAAAAAATTATGTTGCACTCAGATAATTGAAATATATAAACATATGTGTATAGTAGATCAGAGAGCCAAGCGGATCAGGCGGTCAACTAGCATTTGCTTCACTGTCGAATGTTTAAGTGGATGTTCGTTAAGCCCTCAGTGTGCAGAAAAATAAAAAAGGCTAATAGAACATGTACTTTAACCAATAAGTAAGAAACATTTAAAAATTATCTAACACTTAAAATTGACAGTGTAAGGTAAGGAAACCATTAGTCGACAGTGATCCAGTAGTTGAGAGTATAAGTTTCATGTTCACAAAATAAGCTAAGTTTTATTATTAGAAACCAGTAATCTAACTGTTCATCCCACAAGTTAAAACTTCCTACCTTCAGCAAATTCAATATGGCAGCAAATGGCAGTTGGTCAGTTTTGTGTTGTGGATAAAATTAGCATTAAAAAAAAAAGTGTTTAAAAGGTTAGTATTTTTGCACAACATATGGCCAAAACAAAATATCAATTCTAATTCTTCTAGACTACTCAAAAGCTTTTGATACAATTAACCAGAATTTGTTATTCTCTATTTTAAAATATATTGGTCTAGAAGCGGGAGCAGTTGATCTAATGTAAATCATATCTTTCTAATAGATGTCAAGAAGTAAAACTTAATCAAAACATTCCTTCATTTCTAGATCTTAATACTGGTGTGCCTCAAGGATCTATATTGGGTCCAATTTTATTCTTTATATACACATCTAATTTTCCCTCTGCGTTTTTGTCCTGTTCACAACATTGTTACGCAGACGATACCCAACTCTATATGTCATTTTTCCAAATGAGTGTGATCAAGTGGTAGTTAAATGCAATAAATCATAACCTTAATCTGCAGATTTTTTCTCAAAATCATTATTTAAAATTGAATACACCAAAAACTCAGGGTATCATTTTTGGGAGGAATCTGCATAGGAAAATATTTTTAGAATATGCTAATCGAATTATCTTAGGAAATGACAATTTAATCTTTAGCAAAAAGATTAAAAGCCTAGGGGTTTGGTTCGACGAAGATGTAAGGTTTACATATCATGTAAGTATTTGTTTACAAAGAGCTTACACTCATCTCATTCAGCCTATGGATATAGCTGTATTTCTTATGCTTAAGGATGGTTGGAAAAATAAAGTTCAGCAATGGAGATTGACCAATTATGATGCTCCTGTGTTAAAAAAGTTTCACTTTCCCCCTTGCTTGCTGAACTACTGTAAGAGAGTGACACCAACTTTACTTCACAATATATTTAGAAAATCTGGTCTTGTTGTTTGGAATCCAAAACTGTTAACGTAATAAACATTGAGTTACATGAATCTGATATACCCAAACATTGCAATGCTGCAGCAAGTAAAAAAAATCAAAGTGTTAGAAGTTGGTCTAAAGTTCTTGAAGATAATATTGATGAGGAGGAAATTGCAATATTTAAAAATAGAGATGAATGGGATGGAGACATATGTAATCATTCTTTATTTTATTTATTTTTTTTTTAAGAAAAAATGTCTGAATTAAACATTCTTAAATCCCAAATAATAAAAAATAGAGATTTAAAAACAAAAAATCCAAATGAAAACTCGAGGGAAGAAACTGAAGTATCTTCTGAATCTAATGTTCCTCTAGAGGAGCCAAATGTTGGTAATGAGTTATTTAAGACACCCTCATCTCCTATTACCTCACCAACTAAAACGACAAAACATTTTACACCAGAAAGAAGTCAAACACAAGCCCTGCAATTGAGACAATCAGTGACATCATCATAATGTGGTTCCATCTCCATTTAAAAGAGCTCTATTTTGGCCTGATCCCAAACCATCAAAGCAATTAAAATGAACTAAGAAAGAAAAGGTACCTTCAGTTATTACTGCAAAACAATGACAACGAGAAAAAGCAAATGAAAAAAACTGTACAAGAGGAAAATAAAAAACTAAGAAGAACAAGAAAAAATACAAAAAAAAATAAAGAAGAAAAAGTGCAACTTTTTCAGATTTTTCAAATTCAGAGACTTGAATCTTGAATCTCACTTCAAAAAAGATAAAGTGTGTGACACAGAAAAAGATACAAATTTAGATTTTAAAATTGAAGAACATTGTGCAGACTCAACAACTGAAAATATACCTAACAATGGACAAAACTCCAAACAAGTGTGTAAAAAATGTGACTACATTCTTCTGACATTTCCAACTAAAAAGAAGGAATATAAATTTGTGTGTGGTATACAAGAATTATGCAACAATGATGAAGTTGTAGGTACTACAGCTTGTAATAAAACAAAAACCGTATTTAAGTTGAATGAGAAAGACATAAGTTTCATAAATTTTTCCCAAATCCTTGAGAACTTAGAATTTCCCAATATAACTTGTGCTGGAGATTTATTAAAATGTAAATTTAAGAAAAAGCTTTAAGTTGATGGATAGTTAAAATATAGTCAATTACTGGACACTGTAGGTGTCAACTACTGGAATTTTGAAAATATTAAATGTCATCTACTGGTTAATTTGCAACCTGTAAGAAAATCTAACATTTTTTGTTTAATATTACATTTAGTAAATATTTTAAGTTAGTTTCTTATTTTACAAACATTAACACCTATCCTGAGACATAGTTAATAAAAATATTTAAATCTGTAACTGTTTCATTGCCTGATTTGTATATAATTTTTCTTAAGCTGTCAACTACTGGTTCCGTTATTAGTCTTCTCATATTCTTAAGATTTTTTTTAATATAAGCCTAGTTTTTAAACTTTGAACATAAATGTCTCTTGGTACTAGGAGGAACCCTATATAATTCAGGATCACTAGATATATTTCTCATATTCTCATGCCTTTCTACTTATTGAAATAGTTTTATTAATTGCTTCTAATTTGGATGCCTGTTGTTTAGGATGATAGCAAGATTTGCACTGTTATTTGAAGTTTAAGAGCATAGGCGCAAAATTTCGGGCCAATGCTTTTTAAATGCATTCATTTTTTTTCGAATTCTGAGAAAACTAAAAACATTTTTCCACTATCTCTGTTTACCAATGGAGTAAGTTTTATACATTGAACCTTTAGCATAACACAATAACACTTGTGGAACTACTTATTTGTTTTTATTTTGAATCACATTTACACATTAATTCAATATTAACAATTGTGTAGTTAGCAAATCAAGTAAAGCTTTCATTTTCATTAGAATGAAGTTCTATTGTCTACCTCATTCCAAAAGAAACAGTATATTGAAAAACCTTTATTATATGATAATATATAGACACTTATGTTTATTAGTCAGTTGTAACAACTTGCATTCAATTTTATTATCAAAAATATTAATTGCTGAGGGTGAAAAATAATAAAAAAAATGTCGGTTTCTATAAAATTATTATTAACAGTATTACACAATTACAAACATTCAAGAATGTGACTAATAGTAAAATGGTAAATGGCAATCCTATTAAGAACAACTAAAATATATTTATTATGACTATCATAACTAAAAAAGAATTCTTTAACAAAAAAAAGAGTACAAAGGGTATTATAAAGATTTAAGCATGTAAGTTCTTAGTAAGCTAATATGTTTAGCACTTACCACAATATATACCTAATTAATAAAAATTTTAATTTTTATATAAGCTCATTCATATCATGACTACATTCGCTTGAAAATCATAGTAAATGGTGGGCGGATAGAAAATCCTTCATTTTAAATAGTGATGGGTGTTTATTATATATCTCTTTTATTTTATATGTGTATATATATATATACACATATATACATATATGTGGATATATATACATATATACACGTATATTAATTGTAATGGTATATTAGTAATAATAAAACACCTTACTTTCATTGTCAAAGTAAGGTAAGGAAATAAGAAAAATAAATCAATACTCACTACTCAGGATTCATTTTCTACGTTTATATTATTATGGTGAATACGTAAAAATATTGTTTTTGTATCTATTGCACTTTAGTAAACTTCACTAGCTTTTTTAAGGAATTTTTGTATGCAGTTTTAGAAATTTAGAACGACGTATTTGTTAAATCCTAATCCCAACAACTTGATTCATTTGACTGACGTATTGCCAAAGTGGCAGCGCAATCGGTAATGTCAGATAAGACGGCGGGATATTCAAATTGCAGGAACGTGAATAATCAGTTAAGATAAGTTTACTTCAGAAAGTTTTCGTTATTATCATTTCGTACATATATACTCAAAAATAATAATAATTTATTTTACAGTCATATTTAGTGTGACCTAATGATCCGAAAAGACTTTTATTCGCGTTCTGTGCTAACGAGTACTTTATATTGTAGGTGGGTTCCGTATTGATTAAAAGTAAGATTTGCTTCAGCCCTCATTTTTAGGAAGACCAAATCGACTGTTAAATATTAGAACTAGATTCCTAAGTGTGAAGTATGAGGGCAAGCTTTGAGTTGATTTGATGGCAAGTTGAATATAAGTTACAGGACACAAACAGTTATTAATCTCTTAATACATGTTCTGTGTATACATTCATTGCAAGTCATTCAATTTTGACAATGTGGTTTCGCACAGCGTTGCCAAATTTTTCGGATACTGAAAATGTACTGACTATGAATTACACGTAGGTAATTACATGTACTTTAAACATAATTGCAATTACAATGTACAAGTGTAAAAAATACCATTAATCTTATTACAATTATATAAAGAATGTAAATGTTAAATCCTTTTAGATTTAATTTTTTAAGTACATACTTTTAAAAGACAGTCGTAAATTGTGAAAAATGAGTAATACAAATTTATAGTACAGTTATTGTTTGGTTGTGAAATAAATTCGACTAAATAATTAAAACTAATAAAATTAATATTAAACATTTTGTTTACTGGATCACCGAACAACTTTGTTTGGTGACTGGATTACCTAAGCTCTGACGTCACACTGGGCGGGGTTTTTAAAAACATTTCCAAACGTTTCTAATTTCGTCGTCTTGGTGGTAAAGAGAGCTGCTCACTAATCTTTTTATGAGATAATAGGCATCGAAATTTTACTTGTTTAATAAAAAAAGTTTTTTGTATGTAGTACAGTGAATGAAGGTAAATATCAACTATTACCTCCGATTTCGGTGAACCTCCATCGATTTGCATGAAAATTTGGGATTGAGTATATTTTACCTTCAATTTCAAAATTGACATATGCTCAACTTGCGCTTTTTGCATTTTAGGGGTGAAATCCACCGCTTTTTTAAAAATGGTAAAAAATGCAGATTTAAGCATTCTGGCATAAGTAACCTCGATTAATTAAATAAAATAAATATTTTGCAACATTTATAAGCATAATTTATAATTTTAATTAATTTTTCAACCCTTTTAGCAACTATCCCTTAATATCGAAAATCATGAAAAAATCATTTTTTATATTTCTGAAATATCAAATCGCATATTAATATTACCCAAATAGTTTATTTAATGTTAATGATATTTTTTAATTGACTGTGAAATTTCAACCCTTAAAAACCAACCCCTTACAGCAGAATAATTGAAAAAATTAATTTCAGGAAACTTTAATTATTTGAATAATCCATTAGTGAATTGAAATCTCATTTACTGAGTATTAAAAGTATATATTTATTTATTGCGTAATTTTGCACCATTAAAAACTACCCCTTGACATAAAAGTAATAGAAAATGTTTTTTTCTTCAAACGCCAAATAATGATGGCATTACTTATCTAACTTGATCATGTCAAAGTTTGATGTCTCCGCCGGCAGCAGTTTTTTTTCCCATTTCTTTACGGCGCGGCGTGGCGGAGGGAAAAATGTTGTCATGGCAACAATATGAAGCATGTCACAAAGCAACAATACAAATGTCATTAACTTTCAGCAATCATTCCCGATGTTGGCGAATCATGAGGGTTTAAAAATTTTTGAGCATTATCGTTCTTATTTCTTATTGAATCCTCTATATATCCTTCGGCAACCGTGCTTGATTTCCAGCCCCATGTCGTTTGAGGCATTCTAGATTTCCGCCTCCATCAATTAAAAGTGTTGCCGAAGTTCGTCGTAAAGAGTGACCCGTGTATGCGCTTGCATCGTTTAAATTTAAATAACTAACTACTTTTTGGGCTACTGCGCTGATCGAATGTATTCCCATGACGCTTCGGTAATACTTTCCATTTTGGTAATTGATAAAAAATCGGTTTTCTGTTAAATTTTCAGGCCGCAGTGATGCATACTTTTTATACAGTTTAATGTAGTTTTGACCAATTATCGTAAAAGATCTAATTTGTCGTGTTTTACTGTCTGGGATTTTGATAATTATTACATTTTCTTTGAAAACAATCTGAAATATTTTTATAATTTAGTAGAGTATACTACATGCTTTGCAATATATTTTTTTACCTTTAATCCTAAACACAACTTATCTGGCGCTTCAAACAAAAATTTATCAAACTCGTCTTTAGTGAAAACTTTAGACTTCTTTGCAGTATATACTTCGCTTGTTTTTTTTTTCAGAAAGGCACGTAACTTTAAAAATTTGCTTATACCCCCATTTTTTCTAATAACTAACTGGGATTTTATCATAGAGTATCGTGACCACATTGTAGAAGATTTCCATTTATTTTCATTTTCCATTATATTAAAATATGCCAGTAAAACGTCTTCGGTAATTTGCCGTACTCCTCTTGTGTCGCACCACTCTTGGAAGTGCTTGTACGCTAACCGATACTTTATTCCGGCCTCAATTTCTTTTAGGTTTTCCATTTTCGCACCAACTTTGCGCTTGCGGTTGCAACAACAATAAGCTGTCTTTAATAATTGCAAACAACTGTCAAACAACTGTAACCAGGGAGACGCAAATCCCACCGACGCGACGACTTAATTATTTTAATTTCTAACATCTAGACGACTTTGATAGTTGTCACAGTTAATTTTGAGTAAAAATGGCGTATGAATTATACTATTTATGGTTGAAAATTGCTACGTTTGAAGAAAAAATAGTATACTTTATTCGGCAAAGAAGCCTTCTCCGCCTCATAAAGTAATATACTATTTTATTAGCTTTAATAGATTTAATCATTTAGAAACTTTTTTATTGGCACATTTCTACATTGAACAATTTTTTCAATGCTTATGTGACTTATAAACATTTAATTTGTTTAGGGTCCGACATGAAAAACTAATAGAAGTACTGAGAAACAAAGATATAGACAGACGAGATTTACGAATCATTATCAATCTGCATTGGAATCAAAAGGCCAATATAAAGATAGAAGAACAAAAGTCCGAAAATATAGACATAAAGAGAGGAGTAAGACAGGGCTGTGTTCTGTCACCATTACTGTTTAACGTTTACAGTGAAGCCATATTCCAGGAAACGATAGCGGATCTGGGTGATGGAATCTCTGTAAACGGAAGAATAGTAAATAACATAAGATTCGCTGATGACACCGTTATAATGGCAGACACCTTTTAATCGCTACAAGAATTGGTAAATAGAATTAACGATTATTGCATTAGATACGGACTAAAAATAAATAAGAGAAAAACTAAATTTATGATTGTCTCAAAAACGCACATCGAAATGAAAGATTAATGATAGAGCAAACCCAAATAGAAAAAGTAGAGACATACAAATATCTGGGAACCTGAGTTGATGACAAAAATGACCAAAGCAGAGAAATCAAAGTCCTAATTGAAGCTGCAAGGCAAGCATTTGTGAAAATGAAGACAATGCTTACCAACAGAGACCTTCAGTTGCATCTCAGATTGAGGGGTCTAAGATGTTACATATTTTTTATCTTACTATACGGAATGGAAGCTTGGACGTTGAAGAAACAACACATAAGAAAAATAGAAGCGTTCGAAATGTGGTGTTACAGAAGAATGTTAAAAATTCAGTGGGTTTAAAGGATTGCCAATGCTGAGGTACTACGACGTCTAAATAAGGAGTTAGAAATTATGAACAGCATAAAAAGAAGAAAACTAGAGTATTTGGGTCACATAACCAGAGGAGAAAAATATGAACTGCTGAGAATTATTATGTAAGGACGGATCCAAGGAAGAAGAAGCATAGGAAGAAGACACATCTCCTGGCTGAGGAACCTTAGAGAATGGTTTCACTATAGTTCACTACAACTTTTCAGAACAGCAGCCAACAAAGTGACCATAGCCGTTATGATATCCAACCTCCGATAGGAGATGGAACTTTAAGAAGAAAGAAGTACTTTAATTGTTAATTTTTCACTCTTCATCAGAGCTCTCTTGGACAATTTCTCTTTTTTCATTAATTGGAGGGCTATTTTGGCAATTGTCCCCACTCCATGATCCGCAGACTGGATTGCAAAATAACCCTACTCTTCGACACCCGCAAGAAGCGCCGCACCCTTTTTTGCAGTTGCAAAAAATAATTTTGAACAATTCTTTTGGAGCAGGTGAATTGGGATTTTTATTTGAAAACAAAGACTCTTCAATGGACCGCAGCAGTGATGACGTAGATTTTATTGACATTTGTCAGTTTCACTTTTCAAACAAACCTTGTTTAGTGTGGGTAATTTGTATTTTTCGTTATTTTTTTCATTTTTTTATAGAATCTTTCCGCTTTTTGCAATATTTAAGAATTCTTATAGTTACTACAACAATTTTACAAGGTTGTGTAAATAATAAAGCAAATTGTTTTATGCTTATAGCAATAAAATGCATGTATCAATAAAGTAATGTTAGAATTTCATTAATTTAAACTTTTAAACTATATTTCATAGAAATACAACTCTGAATTATGATGGCATTATCGTAAAAAACACTATACCTACAAGAAAAAGCAGCAGAGGAAGCAAAATGTTAAATTAAAAAGTCTTGAGATTGGACATTTCAACTTTTGTTTGGAAAGTAATAATGACAATGTGACAGTCACACTCCTGCTTTCCATTTTGCACCATCCCCAGTTAACTGGACGAATGTCTTTGTTTCCTATTACATACCTATCTTTTTTCCTATATATAGATTCAAAATCTCTACTCCAAAAATTTTTCTAAAAACATGTTATTGATTTTTTTACAATAACTCCATTATGTTTTATGATATCGAGTTCATT